ATGGATATTATCAATGGAGTAACAATAGTCTACCGGAGCATCTGAGTGCAAAACAATTTGTTTTTTATTCATATGGTTTCAGTTGATCTTCTTTTTATGTGCTGTATTATTACCGACTTCAATCTAGAGTTAAATGTCCGTACAAGTTTTGATTGCTCAAGTTTGCAAAATGAATGAACACATAATTACATGTATCATCATAATAAAGGTTGAATAATGAGATGCAAACATGGAAAAAGACAAATGTCGTTTCATGTTTTTAGGAAAGACAGATTGTATGTGAATTAGTAAGATTGTATACTCAAGATATTTATTTCAACTGTACCTTTCCATTTCGACTGATTTACTGGTAGATCAGGAAATGTTCTCTTTTAAGTAAGTGATATGCTTGATTTATATAGGCACTATATGTGGGCAAATATTAAGACCTGCTCGATGTCCGTCTGTAAGCTGTATGTGTCAACTAAATTGGAACAAGGTAGGATGCATGTTTCATTTAAAGACAACTAACACAATAATTAGTGGTATATAAATGCATTACCTGTCGTTAATTAAAAAACGTCAAATATATATCAAGTGGGAAATTATCTGCTACATAACCATTATTTCCAACAATTGATTTCAATTTAAATGTCCAATAGCTCAAACGTTGGTTAATCTAAAATTTATCTTTGAGATTCTCTTGTATCATCATTTTGTATATTATACTTGTATCTTTAATTTACAGTTCGTCAAATGTTAAAATACACTCAATGTTGTTCTGCTCCCCGACTTACAAAGCTTCAGCAAGATTTGACACTTTTCTGTTTAATACTCAACAATTTTGGTCTTGGTTTTTGTCCTTAAAATCTTTTGAATAGAGCGCTACTAATGAGTTTTGTGTAGTGGATAGTTATTATCAAAACTACTGCTTTGGTGCATCCTTTCAGGGTTTAATCCCAGAAGGAATCGATATTTCAGTGGTACGTATGTATGAAATTGCATTGAACTTATAATTTATTTGTAAGTTTACTGTTTTTTGCATTCCGTATATATGAAATAACCCACAACGCATGCTCTTTTTTGACACGAATTCTTCCATCCAGTAGGCTTTCTAACTGAAAAACATGATAGGGAAAATATTATCTGCTGTGCTAGGCAAACGTAGCTGTCCAAGTATTACGAAATGATTCCAGCCTTTCGGAACTTAGCCCGGCAGATGGTAATACCAGATGAAAATCACAGGAGAACATTTCTTCAAATTTAGTTTTCTCTAATTTCTACATAATTGTTGGTTTTCTTACCAACTATACGTCCATGATAATCAGGAGAAAGTTGGAACGTTGAAGTTAGTAGTGGCGAAGCATTGAAAGGACTGCGTTAGGATCATGAATTGTATTAATAATTTGTTTAGTAGTGGCGATGCACTGAAATGACTATACAGATCTGTTTTCCCTCTCAGTGTATCAGTAATTTGTTTAGTAGTGGCGAAGCATTGAAATAACTGCGTTAAGATCATGAATTGTTTAGTAGTTGCAAAGCATTGAAATAACTGCGTTAGGATCATGAATTGTTTTGTAGTTGCAAAGCATTGAAATGACTGCGTTAGGATCATGAGTTGAACTTCCATCTTAACCTACTAAAAAAACAAAGACTTTCATGTCTATCTTATCATACTATATAAACAATTGGATTTTGAAATTAAAACTACAACCAACAAGTCTAAGTGTCTGCATTTTGTTCAATTATGTAAAATTGTATTTAGTTTGACCTTTTTGACAGAATGTATGACCTGGTTAAACTAATTATGTTGTGCATAATGTTCGAAGTATATACTAGTAAACCGAATACAAAATTGTCATTTTGACTTGTATTTGAAAATGTCAGTTTAACAGACACTACAAACTGCAATCTCGTCAAAGACCATATTTTGTGGTCGACCAGAAAGATCGAGCACAGATTTTACTTAACAAGACTCGACATAATCTCGACAGTACTTAACTGCACTTAACTGTATTCGGCTCTGGTCTCGACTTAACTAAATAAGTCTGATTCAGAACTTGATAATCTTGGTATAGTCTGAAATGGTCTCGATAAATGCTCCACCGGTCTCGACTCAAATTTGACCAATCTCGATCTGTCTAGACATGTCTAGACTCAGTCTTGACCTTTAAATTAAGTCTCGACTGGTCTGAATCATCCCATCTAACTCAATTATGTATTGATCTTACAAAATTCCAGGTTATTTGATAGATTGGTTCATTGCTGTCAAAATATTTTATTAGTAGGTAAAAAAAAGCTAGAATTTTCAGTTTTGATTAAATACAGATAGTCACCTTTAAATCTTTTTGTAGCTTTTTCAAATCAACTTGGATTTTCATAAAGCTCTACAGCTATCTCAATTATACATTGATCTTACAGAATGCCAGGTAGTTTGATAGTTTGGTTTATTGCTTTCAAATTAAAGGATTCTATTAATAGGTAACAAAAAAAGCTAGAATTTTCAGATCGGACTGAATTCAGATAGTCACATGTTTTATTACTTTTTCAAATCAACTTGGATTTTTATAAAAACTATCCGGCTATCTCAGTTATATATTTATCTTACAGGTTGCATTTCTGTTAATATAGACAATGCAATTTCCCATAGGAACTCCGTTTACGGCTAAAACTGTGCCACTTTTAATGTGAAGTTTATCCTAGAATAGCAAGTTGATATGCACTACTTTTTTATTCAAAGGTCAAAACATAGGTCTGTGCGGAATATTTTCAACATTTATATGCCTCGAACTTCTAAGAGTTTAAACTTATACTAAAATTCTGGATTACCCCTCACTTCACTTAAGGTCTTTCTCAGAATACAATTCCACCGCCTACCATGTGCATTTATACTAGTAACATTCCCAAGTTATGTCTCTATGACATGAAACCTAGAGATCATATCGTGGAACCAGTACGTAAACAAAACAAAATATCTATGAATAATATATATCTCCCAAAAAGAGGCGTGGTTTGTGAAACAGCTGTATTTGCAAAGTGCAACCTACAGATTGCCAGGTTGTTTGGTAGTTTGGTGTATTGCTGTCAAAATAAGAACTTAATAGGTAAAAAAAAAGCTAAAATTTTCAGTTTTGACTAAATTCAAATAGATACCTATAAATTTTGAGATAGCTGTAAAGTTTTATGAAAATCCAAGTAGATTTGAAAAAGTTATAAAAAAATGTTTAGGTGACTACCAAATAACCTGGAATTTTGTAAGATCAATATATAATAATTGAGTTAGTTGGGCTGATTCAGACCAGAGATGACTAAATTTAAAAATCAAGACTAAGTCTACACAGGTCAAGACTGGTCGAGACTGAGTCAAAACTGGACGAGACAGGTCGAGACTGAGTCGAGACTGGTCGAGCATTTGTCAAGACAATTTCAGACTATAAGATTATCAAGTACTGGATAGAACTTATTAAGAAAAGTCGAGACTTAAGTTGAGTAGAGTTAGGTACAGTTAAGTACAGTTAAGCATAGTTAAATACAGTTAAGTACTATACTCTGAGCAGTTTGTAGTGAGAGTTTCATCAATAACAACAAGAATATGGATCCCTAATCATTTCTTCGTCTCTGTGTCGTTGATAGTGAAACCATCAAGGAAACGAATAACCAGGTTTATATCATTGTATTTTAAAGCATTATAGGGAACATTTTTTATTCTAATATTACTATTAGAAGAAGATTTGTTTCATTTTAATCTTGATGTTATTTCAGATATAGTTTTTTTTTTTTTAAATCACAGCATCACTTATAAGTTAAAGTTCCATTCACAACATTAAAAACATGAATATTTCTTTCTTCAACTTCGAGCTGAATGGCAGTTACTCTCAAGCTGAAAATTGTATAAAACTTTTTTCAAGAAAAAACGGCATCATGTGCCTTTTGTTCTTCTTCAAAAAGCTCTTCTGTAATGTTTTCAGTTAAATTTCCACTACTTCTATTTCGATGTTTCTTTACAAAAGATCGACATAGTTCCTCCGTATTATTGTCTGTGTTTATTGTTAACTTTTTTTTTGGTGTTCTGCATCACTTTCAAAACTCATTACTTCTTTTTGAAAGCTATCAGTATTTTTTTGGTTTAGGTGCATCCACGAAAATCATATTGAAGATCATCAATTTCCTGTGAATAAATTGTTTATTTGTTTGGTAAAATACTAGTTACAAAAATACAGAACTCCAAGATAAATTCAAAATAGAGAAATCCTTGAAACTGACTTAATCAAACATAAGACTTTGTCAAACATCGGAACAAATGGAATACAACTGTTTTCTTCCTGACTTGATATATGTATTTTTCTAAGACACTGGTGGGTAACACCTTGTTTTATATCTAGCTCAACCTCCCACCTGTATGACAGTGGTTTATAGTTATGTTATATTGGCAAAATTGGGCGAGCAACTAAAACAGACAGTATAGGTTCCTAACAGAGCCTACAGTGTAAATCGTCATTGTTTTCTTATCCAATTAACTTTTTTTCATAGCTTCAATAGCTGAAGGCTAGTGTTCTTATTTGTTCATCTACAGTTATAACATGTATAAGGATTCTGTCAGTTCTAACGTTGTGGCAAAGTTTCTTTAAATCCTATTTTAAGGGACAATGAGAGTTTTTCCTGCAGACAGTCGATGATTAATTCCTGAATTTACTCCACCAATACAGATTGGTCTCCTGGATTCAGCTATTGTAGCAGAAAGTGGAGTTAAACACTTACAAACAAGCAAAAACATCAACATTTTTTTTTTTATTTAAAGTCCTTTATAGAGATATATCTCGTTTAAGTCAGATATTTGACTAGATTCACATCTATCTCATCACAGTGCAATAAATTCGGCACAATACTTAATCACTCCATTAATAACTTTGTCAAATTTTTCATAAGAAAACATTTATAGGTCTCATATTTTTGTAATATATATTTTTCACGCTGTATGATTATCATTTCAACATAACGTCGACTCACCTTGTGTTATTCAACCACTAACTGTTTAAAATACTTGAGATGTGTGTCTTCCGATTTGTTATCGTTTTGCTTTACGTAATCTCTGCTTATGGACAGATTTCAAGACTCAGTGAATGTCCATCAGTGAAAACTGTTTCGTATGTCAATTGGAATAAGGTAGGACTTATATTGTTTAAAAAAGAATTGTTTAGGTGTAACACCACTAATTAAAGAACGGTAAAAAAAGAACATACCAGATATAGTACATATTTAGAACAAAATAGTTGCTATAAATAGATATATGTTTTGAAATATGTTGAATACTTTAGTGATCAAACAAAAGTTGAATGACTGGTGATCACTCTGGTGTCACTGTTTGACAGCTAATTTTGAATGATAAAAATTTTGCAGGAAATTTTAAAAACGGGTCATTTCTCGTCATTTCTCAATTCATAAGTACATGATTTGATAAATCTTAGGATACAAGAATCACTACGCTCTTATGTTCAATTAAAGGCATGTTGATTTGTTCACCACAAAAGAGTAGTTAAAATAGGACATTAACTGACTCTCACTTTATGTGATCTTAAGCCAATATACGCGTCATAGATACCAGAATTTAAACTGTGTACACAAAACGCGCGTTTCATATTCAAAAGTCTTATCAGTGATGCTCGAATGCAAAAGATCGAAGGAACTATACAAACTTGAAATTGAAGCATTTAACATATAAAGCAAGGTGACCATATTTATTTTAGTGGTTGTGTCTGCTAACAATTGAAATACTAGAAAGTCTACAAACTTTGGTGATAATTATGATAGTTGTAAGGCATCATATGCATATGATAGTAATCCTTTTAATTTCCTGTCGTTACATTTAATATGCATTTAGTCAAACCTTTTAGGAAAATCGTAATCATAATTATTAATGCATTTTGAAAGAAAGCCAACAAATACCAAAGGGATATTCAAATGTTGTCAAAAGTATTTCAGAAAGTAAATAAAAAAGGTCGAAGTACCATTTGCAAATTATATCATTTTTTTAAATCCGTGTTTCAAAAAAATCAATAACCCTGTCAATAGACGTACGTATAATATAATAGTGTTTATGTATTTTAACCAAGTCAACGTGTGAACTACAATTAGCGAACCAAAAAAACTCCGACTAGACACTTGATACTTATCAAGTGATATACTTGTTAGATATTTTAGATGAAATATAGGTATCTAAGGTTGACAAAAAATGTATCTGTATGACTGTATAATTTATGTAACGTTTATTTTCTAAATTATTCGTTTTTAGTTTTTTTGTAAAGAATATCGCTGATTAAAACGACTAATACACTGTAGACAATGTCGTTAAACATTCCAGACTTTTTTTATGTGATCACAGACAAACATTGAAAATAGGTTAAGCAATAAGAAGACATGATCAAACCATTTCAAAATTAACAAATATTATATGTGACCCTATATGACATTTCCAGTCTGATGGAGGTCATGTCATTGTGATACAAACCCCGTTCAAAATAAAAAATAAACAGAACAAGTTTAGTAAAACATCTTGTTCTTCCTATTTTTTACATAGGTGCATTGTACATCACATATTCTAATATTTTATTCTGTCGTAAAATGGGTATTTTTATAAATCTATAATTATTCTCAAACTGACATTCCCAAACTAGTAACGACAAGAAATATTTTGAAGATCTGTTATTATGTGCAATGTTTGATCAATTAGATTTCATTTTTAACAAAACATTCAGTTGTATTGCAATATCATATAAACTCAATTATATTATTTATTTATGTATGTCTCTGTCCTGAGTGTTCTTGCGTTTAGTTGTAATGTATTCCTTTCACGTAATGTTGTCATTTTAGCGGTATTTTAACATTACCATATAAGCGGGAGGTTTGGCTAGCCATAAAACCAGGATCAACCCACCAATTTCTTTCTTAAATTGTCCTGTACCAAGTCAGAAATATGGCAGTTGTTATCAAATAGTCCGTTTCTATGTATGTTGGCGTTTTGTTAAATCAATTTATGACTACTGAACAGCGGTATACTAGCCTTTATGTATCTGGAAAAAAATTAACGTTTTACGTGTTTTATTTTTATTTTTATTTTTATTTTTTTTAAGGTAATAATTACTTTTTCCTCTTTTCCTTCATGAATTGTTTAACAAGTTTATAATGGATTTAAAATTCAAAATGTTCTGCTCTATATAGTTTTCATAATAAATCACCGTATCAAATGTCGTTTGGTAAACTTCTTCTTAAACTGTTATTCCTCGACTGTTATGAGTTGTAATGACATGCTTCTTTGAACTGTCGAACTTCAAAGACAAACTCAAAAAATAAAGTACAAGTTACCATTTAAATAAATTTTAAACTAATTTCATTGCAATTTTAAATAGAATTTTATGAACAAAAACAAAGAACTGTTTGTAAACTAAGTACATAATTTGTGTTCATATAGGTTGTTAAATGTCACTCAGCACCACTGAAATATGTGTGCACTTTATAAATAAATGCGTTTGTAAATCCCAAATGTCGTCATGGAATACTCATTATTCCGATATCGAAATCATCTGTCATCATAACTTTTCAGGACGTTTACTTTAAGAACTTAATGGATAAAAGTTTATGCACATTCAATTACTTAAAACGCATCATGTTCGTTAAAAGCTCCTACAGGTTATTTTTACTTCTTTTTATAGTTATGTTCCTCAAATTGAGGTCAATATTGGAGACATAAGTTCTGTTTTCCCCGTATTGTTAAACGGGCTTCTTCTGTGTGACTTTCTAAACAAAAGTGTGCATTTTTGGTCATTCCTGAATGATTAAAAGGTAGCTTCAGCACTCAGAGGCAATATCTCTAATATAACTATAAGGCATCAATTCGAAATAAAATCCGTAAGTATAATATATAAAATTGAGAATATGTCTATAAGTAAAACTAAAACTAGGTTGAAATAAGCATGACAAGTCTACTGAGAATATTCAGTTACATTACAGACACTGTCAAATCATTACAGAAACAAAGCTGATATCGTGGAGTGCATTTGAACAGAACCTGTATGCAAAATAGCAAATTTTTACACAATGCCTGTTAAACCCGGAAATCTTGTACTTCAAACCATTTGAATCCGCTCCAAACTGTTGTGAACATCATGTTTATCATAAAGCATTATCGGCGATTAAATATCAGTTTTAATACCTTGTGTTTTGACAAAATATATCTAAAAATAAGATTAAAAAGGGAAATCGGCTTACAAAATATGTTCATTGCACTTGCAGATACATTGATGAGGGTTTGTCCTCAATAACCCACATTTTATAATATATCCTTGTAAATAAGAGATTTAGAATACTCCCGAAAGTAAATGGTCTGTATTGTATCTCAAGTTTTATTCGATATTGACTCAAATGGACAACGTCAAACTAGAACATATAACAACAAATGTGATGATTTCAATTTTCCAATTGTCAGTTTCCCATTTCTGAGCAGTGACATACCCTCTGATCCAACGTATGACGTATGGAATTGTATGCGACTGTCATACAAGTGAGAGGTTTAGCTAGCTATAAAACCAGGTTTAATCCACCATTTTCTACATAAGAAAATGCATGTACCAAGTCAGGAATATGACAGTTGTTGTCCACTCGTTTGATGTGTTTGAGCTTTTGATTTTGCCATTTGATTACGGACTTTCCGTTTTGAATTTTCCTCGCAGTTCGGTATTTTTGTTATTTTTCTTTATACATGTTACAAATAATACATTGGGCACGTACATATTCACACTATACCAAATTTATTAACAGGGATGCACTCCTTTTATATAACCTGCTTCAACAGATTAATCTAGAAGAACGATTGGAATCAACATGACAAAGGTTTTCCTGTAAACAACACAAAAAGGTTGACTGATACTTCATGTTGGTGTCTAAATTTACTGGCGACATATTTTAAAGGTTTTAGATCTGCCAGTATAGTCTGATAATCTCTTATTTCACCAAATGTAAAAAGGAAGGTGTGGTATGATTGCCAAGGAGACAACTCTTCACAAGAGACCAAATGACACAGAAATTAACAACTATAGGTCACCGTACGACCTTCAACAATGAGCAAAGCCCGTACCGCAAAGTCAACTATAAATGGCCACGAAATGACAAATATAAAACAATCCAAACGAGAAAACTAACGGTCTAATTAATGTACAAAAAATTAACAAAAAACAAATATGTAACACAGCAAAAACAACAACCACTGAATTACAGGCTCCTGAATTGGGACAGGCACATACATTCAGAATGTGGCAGGGTTAAACATGTTAACGGGATCCCAACCTCCCCCTAACCTGGGACAGTGGTGTAACAGTACAACATAAGAACGAACTATCAAAATCAGTTGGAAAAACACAGAGTGGACGTGGCCGAAGAATTTGTAACAACAAAAAAAGACACTAAGTACAGATCTGAGAGTAATCGCAGTTACTGACAGCTAGTTCAATGCCAATAACAACTAATAAAACAAATATGCATTTGAGACTAAATTCATGCATCTAAGTGTTTTCTTTTTTCCTATTGTGACTTTTTAACTAAGTGTGAATTCGTATGGTGGGTTTTTCAAGCATAATCCTGTCAACGCTCCCTGTCTAGCTCCTTTTGAAGTTAATGCGATTCAATTGAGTTGTGTCTTGTTGCCGTTATTTTTCTCTCGCTAATCTATTTACAGATTTTAACATCGTTAAACTGTTGTTGCCTTTACTTGTCAAGTGTTTAGTAAGGTTAATAGCTTAAACAGCATAGAAGATAGGAGATATATTGTACTGTCGTTGATTTTTTTTTTGTATACAAGATGGAAGGTCGATGGTACAGAATGAGTGAGTTCCCAGAAAGAGATTCACGGTTACAAAATCAGACCTGTTTATCAGAAATAAAAGAAGTAAACAATGATGGTACTATAAGTGTGTTTGCGTCCTGGCTAAACACATTGTAAGTAAACTATCACGTTATACTGTTGTCAGGTCATTAAAGATTGCATATTTTGGCTTTAATATTGATTCACTTATAGGGTCTTTGCATCGGAATTAAACATATTTATTCTAAAACCAGTTGTTGGCATGACACGGGTTATGTTCTTCTCATATATTTTATGATGGTATAATACTAAACCCCTAACAGGAGGGATTGTGCCTGATATTCATATGATGAAGACATAATCTTTCAATTAGTTTAATTGAGGTCTGGAGCTGGCATGTCAGAAACTGCTAGTAATCTGTTGTTATTTATGTATTATTGTCATTTTGTTTATTTTCTTTTGTTTCCTATTCTGACATCGGACTCGGACTTCTCTTAAACTGAGTTTTACTGTGCGTATTGTTGTACGTTTGTTTTTTCTACATTGGCTAGAGGTATAGGGGGAGGGTTGAGATCTCAAAAAACATGTTTAACCCCGCCGCATTTTGGCGCATTTTGTCCCAAGTCAGGAGCCTCTGGCCTTTGTTAGTCTTGTATCATTTTTAATTTTAGTTTCTTTTGTATAATTTGGAGTTTAGTATGACGTCCATTATCACTGAACTAGTATACATATTTGTTTAGGAGCCAGCTGAAGGACGCCTCCGGGTGCGAGAGTTTCTCGCTGCATTGAATACCCTTTGGTGGCCTTCGGCTGTTGTCTGCTCTATGGTCGGGTTGTTGTCTCTTTGACACATTCCCCATTTCCATTCTCAATTTTATCACATGAAGATATAGAATTGACGGACCAATGGGTAAAATTGAATAAAACACAGAAAAAGTTATGAAAACCTTAAGTATTATTGCATAAAAAAGCATTATACACCGATCCCGTGAGACAACTCTCAACCAGAGATCAAATGATGTTGAAGTTAACAACTATAGGTCAACGGAAGGCCTTTAATATTGAGCAAACCTATGCTAAGTTTTAAATATTATATGAAAAGGGAATACACAGCTATTGCTCCATGTGCTCTGAAATGGTATTTCAGTTTTGTATGTTCTTATAATTATCTTCATTAACAAGCTTCATACTGAGCTTGAACTGATATTGTACAATGAAATTGTATATACTGTAAAAATAGTTCATTTTATATTCATGTTTTTCATAACTTAAATTGTTCTCATGCAAAACAAACTATATCCAGAAATGGAAGGAGTCTCGTTAATGATATGAAAAATCCATTCACATCGGTCGGGTCCAATTTTAGTATGTAATCTGAACATGTTTATTATTTCACGTCATTGTTTCCTAGTGGTAGTTTAATCTGAGTGGTATTATTTTTTGCGAAACCTTTCGGCATTTTTTGCCCTCAGAGATCCTCAACTTTGTACTATGTTTTGCTCTTTTTTATTTGATTTTATTCGAGAGTCACTGATGAGTCTTCAGTTTATGAAAAGCGTGTCTGGCGTACATCATTATAATCCTGGTATTTGTTATGAGTTCTTTTTTTCATTTCTATATGGCGGTCTGTCTTGTAAATATATTATGTGTATCATACAAATAATTGTTGACCTCTAGTCTTTAAAGCAATTTCTTACTTATTTGTATAACTTCAATGAGTAAACTAATTTCTTATTATCTTAAAATGATTTTTTGTTCAATATTGAATCATATTTTATGAATTTTATGACACACAGTACTGGTCAATTCTTTCAAGATATGTTTGTTGGTAGAATTATACCTGAAGCAGAAAATCCAGGAATGGCCTCGTTTGACGGAACTCTTGACTGTAAGTTGGAACATAATGTTGATACTTTATTTCTGTTCTTGTTACTAGTTTTAATTACGGAATAATGATACGATGTCATCATTTACTTGAAGAATATTAAGAAATTGTTATGCCTACTTTACTCTGAACACCAAAGAGAAAACGACACTAGTAGACCAACTTTGATCTGGTCATTTGGATTTAAACAGTTCTTAAATTATAACATTATTTCAGTCTTTCAGTCAATTTTCAGACTTGTTCACTATGCTAAATTCAGTACTGTTAAGACAATTCGCTTGCAGTCAATCGCGATCTATTCAGTCTAGGTTCAGACTGTTCGGTTTTAGTTGATTACCTTCACACATTATCAATATATCAAATTGTCTGAAAATCTACTGAACAGTTCTGTATTAATTGGAAGCGAATTGTCTAAACAATACTGAATTAAACGCAGTCGATATGATTGTGAATTGACTGAAAAAGTAAACATGACTTGATAACTTACAGTTCAGACTTTGCACATGTTATTAAGATCCAAAATGATCGTCTAAGACTAAAATCATTTACAATGCGAATTCGTGCCAACTCTGAATGATGTTTTAATTGCTTACAATCTTGTTACGGTTTCTTAAAAGTATATCTTTGAAAACAATCATCTAAAATAGATTTACCAACTGGACATTGCATCTTATGTTTCAGCTGTTCCGCAGTATCAATATTCTCTAATGGCGGTACAATACGACAACTTTCATTTGCTCTATGGTTGTGAAGATGGTAAAGGACGGCAAGATAGTTTAGGTTCGTAAATAGCGATAAATATAATAACCAGTATCGTAAGATAATTCGAAGTTAGAGGGAATTGATATTATTGAAGGATAAGTACAACAACTTCCGATACAAAGAAATTACTTACACATAGTGGTGACTTTCGGAAGCTTTTGAACAGGTTTAGAGTAGACAACAGTGTGAAGATGAGACTAAAATGGATGTCCTATGATGTATTAAAATGTGTTTTGTTTGCCCATACAAATTATTATTGGCTCAATACCCGTCCCCCTTTTTTCGCCTATTCCACGCCAACATATGCATGCCATATTGTTTTTTGAGGCTGACATACTGCAGTCATTTTAAGTCAGAGTAAAACCAACAAAACATAATTGTTGATAGCTCCTTTGCTTTCAAATGATTTGGTTTGAGCGTTCTTGGTGAAGATAAATACGTGCTTCGGGCGCATGATATTTTTATCTGAAGAAACCTATCAGTATAATTTAAGTTTAAAAATTTTTCAAGATCAATATCGAAGTTTACCCCTAACAGCCGAAAAGAAGTTGACCCCTATGATAAATTTCTGTTCTGGCATAACATTTCTCTACTGTATTTTTTTACTTCCAATCCATACCACTTGAGTTTTTGTAAAATTTATCCTTAGTCCAGAAAGTTTTGCATACCAATCAAGCTCTAATAAAGCTTCTTCCATAGATTCTTCACTTCCATCCAAAATCAGTGAAGTGTCATCTGCAAGCTGAGATAGTTTATGTTCAACTTGAGAAATTTCCATACCCTGTATTTTCGTATTACCTCTTACCTTTATTGCCAACATCTCTGCACATAATATGAAAAGGTACGGTGATAGTGGTCCCGCTGTCTACAGCCTCGTCCAATACCAAAGAACGCTGATAAATTTCCACTCTGAATGACTGCAGAGCTAATATTATTGTAAAATACTTTTATCCAATTGATTATCGAATTCCAAAATTGAAAAAAGTCAGAACTGCTAAAAGAAAATCCCAGGATACTGTATCAAAAGCTTTTTCAAAGTCTATCAACAGTAATAAACCAGGGATATCTTTTTCTTCAGTATACTGCAAAATATCATATATAAGTCGGATATTATCTCCCATATAGCGCCAACTTATGAAACCAGTTTGATCTAAATTAATAAGTTTATCTAATTTTTTTTTAAATCTACTTGCAATCACCCTTGACCCAATTTTATAAACTGTATTTAATAATGAAATGGGGCGCCAGTTCTTCAGAAAATGCCGTGGCTTATTATCCTTTGGCAAACATGTGATAATGCCTTGTTTTTGAGTGACTGATAATGATCCAATGTGAAATCCATAATTTAGAGATTCTATAATAAAATATTTTAAATCTTTCCAAACAAATTTGAAAAACTCAGTCGAAAAACCGTCAGATGCAGGAGATTTATTATTTTTCATTTTTTGTAATGTTAAACCTGCCTCAGCTATAGTTATTTCCCCTTCTAAATTATTTTTTTCATCCTCTATCATTTTTTCAAATTTAAAATTTTTTAATCATTTTCTAACTGTTCAATTTTACAGCCATTTAAACTACAATCCCTATTTTTATAAAGTGTTTTATAAAATACTTTTGTTTCTTTTAAAATATCATATTGCTTTATTATAATCCTTCCATCTTCTGTTTCAACTTTTGGTATAATTTTACTAGTACAATTTTTTTACTCAAGACCACAAAAATATTTAGTTGGCTTTTCCCCTTCTTCAATCCATTTGACCCTTGAACGTATTAATTTACCCTTCATCTTTTCTTTCCTTATATCCTCCAGTTCTTGTTTTTTTCTTTTAATTGATTTATTAATTCTTCCTTCAAATTTGCTTCTAATGAATCAATTACCCTTTGTAAATTAAGAACCTTTTGATCATTTTCTTTTTTCTTAAAACTTGCGTACGAAATCTTCTTTCCCCTGATTTCCATCAATAAAGTCTCAAGAAATAATTGCTTGTTTATAGTAAGTTGTAAATTTTCATCATAAATGTCATCAATATGTTCCAAATCATAAACATGTGCACAATATTGTTTCTTGACATCAATTATTTTTTCTTTTACAATATTTACATATTCTTGATTATATGATAAGGAATTATTGAATTTCCACAGTCCTTTACCTCTTATAAATGGGTTGAATTGTAGCTCTAAAATTACAAAAGAATGATCCGAGCGACAGCTAGGTTCAATTTTACAATTTAGTAAATTTGTTAACATGTTATCTGTAAAAAGAAAAAAATCCAACCTAGCTTGTTTAAAGGGCTTCTTTTTCTCCATGTATATCTACGCGAGTCTGGGAAAAGTTCCCTAAAAGGATCTATAAAGCTCCATTGATCTATGATTTCTAAAATTTTATCTCTAGCATTAGGGTTATTAATGTATACAGTTACAATAGTCTATATGGGGATACAATACAAGATTAAAATCACCACATATTATAAAGTTTTCATTTCCAAAATCTTCTATAATACACATAATAAGATGGTAAAAATTAGGATTATCTGAATTAGGACCATACAATGATAGAAGTGTTACTCTCTCCTTGTCTATAACAATATTTAATGCTAGATAATTACCATTTACATCTTTCTTCTCTTTTAATACCCTAAATTCAAAATTATTATTGAACATTACAGCAACTCCTCTAGAGTTTGACGAGAAAGTTGAAAAATAACAATCATAGCCCCACATGGTCTTGATATTCATTTCACTTTCATTTGTGAAATGTGTATCTTGAATACAAAAGATGTTGCATTTTTTAGACTTAGGAAAATTAAATACATCTCTTCTCTTTTCTATGTCACCTAGACCTTGACAGTTAACTGATAATATCTTTAAAGAGCCCATTCAATTATGAGTATAATTTTGTGTGAATTCCAAAAAGAATACAATAAAATAAAAGCAATATTCATCAGATGGGTTATTTGTACTGAGAAAGTATCTTGTTTTAACCAAAAAATCAAAAAAGGAAGAACAATAATTTGAAAAAGTGATTAGATAAAAAATTATAAACAGTATCAAGACAACAAGCATTCTTACTGTTTTCTGCATACAATGTAATGATGCAGTTTAAATTTTTGCAACTTTTTTCTCTGTTTAGTTAAATATTCACTCAACTATCTTAATAAATCTTATTTTGTTTGAAATAACATATAGTCAGATCAGAACAATTTCAAAATAATATACAAGCTTTAAGTAATATTTGGTTTTTTTTAAAAGGTAACTAGAATTATCTCCCTTCTTTCAGTATTGAGTAATCTGAATCTACAAAGTACATGTATATTTCTTAACCTCCAAAATGTCAGAGTTACTTCTCTTCTCTCAGTCTTTTGTTGATGTCATCATACAACCCATACTTCATTTGGAGACCATTATCAGTTCTGCCATACATGCCACAGTTGAAATACCACACCTGATCAAACTTTCCACTATCCTCTAGTCTTTTTATAAGGGCCATATTTCTGATGGTAACATCATCTACAAATTTTACTGTATTTCTTAGTTCTTTTCTTTTTCTCATTATACTCCTCTTTATGTCAGTATTAAAACATCTTACGATTAATGGTCTTGGTTCTCGCTGTGCAGGTAAACGATGAATGGCTACAATATCTCGGTCATGCAGTGTTATGTTTAAGTCCGACTTTACCATTTGTATAAACTCTTGACGGAGATCTTGCTGCTCTTTCCATGGAAAATTATATACCTTTATGTTATTCTTTCTGGAGTATTGTTCGTTATAGTTACTGCTTATATTTGTTACTTTAGCAATTTCTGTTGTTTCAGACAGTTCTTTTCTAATCGATAATGTTTTGGCTTCATTTTGGTCTATCTTCCTTCTCAAATGTTCATTTTCAATTGATAAGGCCTCCACTTTTTCTTGCATTTCTGTTTGGATTTTATTCAATCTTTCATTCATCTTTTTATCTAAAGTGGATTCAAATTTACTAAAACGATTTTTCACAATACCAGTAACCATATTCTCAAGGTCAGCTGTTTTGACAAGGTCTTTTGTTACTTCATTCAGATCATCTTTTGTTGTAATATCCCTGAGGCTTAACTTGATTTGATCAGGGTCTTTTTGAAAATTAATTATCCCTGATAAATCCATACTAGTATTAGAATCTGTTGACACATCTGAGCGAGTTCTCTTAGGGAGTTGTTTATTTTTATCTTTATCTTTTTTAGCTGTAAATAAAGACTGAACAGTTTTTACTTGTTTCTGTTGATCTGCTGATTGACTTGAAAGTCTATTTGAAGGGTTACTACCTCCAGGCATAGTGCACACAATATAATTATACAAGTCTATTGTAGATAAATCCAATCATTCAATTTTACACAATAAAATCCTTGAAAAAGTCTAATATGTCTAATATTTCATATATTCTTGAAATATATCACACAAAAAGCATATCAATGGATGTATCACTTCAAAAACTTCTTCTTGGCCATAAAATTAATCCATTTCAAACATTTAAACTGCTCACAATATTGCAAAAATTGGGAGCTGACTTTTCACAGTATTATCAGCTCAGCGGCCATCTTGTACGCATGATATTTTTGATTCGTTAGCGAATTTCTTACTGTCAAAGCATCATATAGAGTGAAATTGTTAAGTAATTGATAGAAGGGATAACATGAATCATAAAACAGTGACAACCTACAATGATCGACGCACGGTTGAGATAGCTTTTCTTGATACTGGCGCTAAAAATTGAGGTAACACCATTCTAACATGTTCATGAGTATACAGATCCATTAACTTCATGTATCCAGGCTGTATTTCTTCAAACTAAAAATACAACAATAAACCCTCAAGAGGAGGTACCAACAGGATAACCACTGACTTGAACAAGGAAATAATACATGCACATTATCTTAAACACAATGTCAAAATATAAAAAAGTTAGCTACAACTTTTCAATTTGTTTTTTTTTTTTAGTACAACGACAATAAACATATAAAACAAACACACGTGTAGTAAATAAAATGTTCTTTTTTTTAAAATCATTTTAACATGCGATTATATTCTTGATACAATAAACCACTACAAACGTTTAATGTAATCTGTCTAACTGTAATTGTAGAGACCGCATTTATTTTCTCACGTACACCAGAGCCATTGGAGAGATCTGAGCTAGATAATGTATATTGTCTTCTAGGAAGTAACGGCGTAGATCCAGATAAGTTTGTGTTCGTTGACCATCGCAATTGCCCAAATCTACAATAGAGGCTCACAAATGTATTTTAGTAGACTTCTATAATAAACAAATATTTTGAATTAGACATATACAGTGTATGTCTTTGTTTTATGAGTTGCATTATGATACTATCTAGATGTCTTATTCAGTGTTGTGTTAAAAAAAAGTAAACAAAAAAAACTACGAGGAAAACTTCAAAATGAAAAGCTAAAACGTATCAAACAAATGGAAAACACCTGTCCTTTTGGGGTCTTTCAAGCTGACTTTACGATATGGGTTTTGCTTATTGTTGAAGGCCGTACGGTGACCTATAAATGTTCACGTCTATGTCATTTGGTCTCTTGTTGAGGGTTGTCTCATTGGCAGTTATATGACATCTTCTAATTTTATAATTATTGCATTTCAATTAAGATTTAAGTCGGTCAGTGTGCAACATTTACTTGATTGAAATAACAACAATTCCATGTCCTGAACGAATAATCACTTTAGATCATCTAACCTATAGGTGTGAATTTGACCTTTAATTTCATAGCATAAAGGAACGATAAGACAGTTGGCAGAGTTTCATGACAATATGATATATATTAAAGACAATATGACCATTTTAATTTAGAACTTTTGGTGTTCATTTTGACAGTTCAAATCAAATAATTTCAACTTTTAAGATATTTAGATATTTAGTTATTTAGATTTTGAAAAAAATTGCTTTTGAAATGCACTTTTATATAATGAATCATGTATTAAAATTAACTGAACGCTCGTTTGGTGTATCAGATTCATTACATTGGTTTAAAAGTAAAATTTATATGAGCATGCGCCTAAGAAAAGAGATTTCCAATGAACGACAAGGGGGGGGGGGGGGGGGGGTCTTATATGAACATGTTTTTGTTTTCCTACAATTGAACAATTTTGAAATTATTTTGGTACAAAATAAATCTTTCATATATATCTAATGTACCTTAAATGAAAATAAAGTTACAAATACATACTACATGAGTATAGTATGGTCTAAGGCCTTGTTAGACTGGAAACTATTTAAAGTCAATAGTCCGTAACACATATTTAAATATAAATTACATACAGAAGCTATATAAGAAATAGAAATATGATGGTTTTTTTTCTGCTCATTTCTGTGCTACGATGTTATGAAACAAGATATCTGAATGCAATAGGATTCTTGAATTCAATACATTTTGGCAGACAGTATGGTCTGATGCACAGATTGTTCACGTTTCAGTTGAAACTTGCATATAATTTTAGTCTGATATAAGGGATGTATTTGAAGCACTTACTATACTTCAGAAGAAAATAAAAGTGCTTTTAAATATATGAAATGACACAAGTATCCTTATCATTGTTAGGTGCTTGTTTTACAGATTTATTAAAATATTTATGATTGAACTCAACTTTTATGTGCAAAGCCCCTCACATTTCATAGAGATGTTAATTCTGTACATTAATTCATTTTGACGAATTGATACCAGCAACCATTCAGGAAAGTACAGAATCTACATTTACTGAATGCCTCTTGGGCCCGAGTACATATTTATATCTCAGTGTATTTCTTTTAGACAAAAAATACAAATCTTAAAAATCATACATGCTCCATCTAAAACACATTTTTACAGCGTAATGTCCTTCTTTTGTGTCAAATTATATCAAAAGTATAGAAAATTCTTCCAGCGTTAACTTACCTTATTTACAATTTGATGCTAAGGGGGTCAATAATTCAGTTTGACAGCTTCACCATACTAGTTGTGTGCCTTTTTCAAGTGGACAAAATAAGTATTTTGCCTTAAAATTCCTAATCGAAATTGTTTTGCCTGTAATTTTTCCCCCCTTCTTACCACTTTATGAATAACATTATTAAGAAATAAATTTGAAAGATCAATGAGAAAAATTGCATGTTATACATTATTCACAACAAGGGCCTATATGTGTAGACAGCGAAACTTAAAGGACAATGCAATAATACATCTTGATCCAATATTGAATGAATTGACATATGTCTTAACAATTAAACAAGCTCGAAATTGTTCCTGATTAAATAAAACAATTTGGATAAACTAAATAGACACATTGACTCAAAAGAAGGACATTACGCTGTAAAAATGCGTTTAGATGAAATATGTGTGATTTTTAAGATTTGAATTTATTGTCCTACAGAAATAATTATGTACTCAGGCCTAAAATATATGTTCAGTAAGTTGAGATCTCACAAAACATGTTTTACCCCGCCGCATTTTTGCGTCTGTCCCAAGTCAGGAGCCTCTGGCCTTTGTTGGTATTGTATGTTTTTTTTTAATCTTAGTTCATTATATGTTTCGGAGTTTATTGTGACGTCCATTTTCACTGAACTAGTTCACATTTTTGTTTAGGGGCCAGCTGAGGCCCGCCTCTGGGTGCGGGATTTTCTCGCTGTGTTAAAGACCTATTGGTGGCTTCATGCTGTTTTTTGCTCTTTGGTCGGGTTGTTGTCTCTTTGACACATTACCCATATACATTCTCAATTTTAAATTACAATATTTGCCATAAACTCCAAATGTTTTGGTATGACATACACAAACTATAGATTGTTGTTGATCTGATACTAAATACCATTATACGTTTCATTTTTATGTGTTCAGAATAATGAATTGTAAATAAAGGTCTCATTGGCACTAATACCACATCTTCCTATATCTATATAATAGTAGTATACCGCTGTTCAATAGTCATAAATTGATTTAACTGAAACAAATCCGAGTCACAAACCAAAACTGAGGGAAACACATCAACTAAAACAGGAAACAAAACGGAACAACAGAGACACTGAAACTGCTACAAAAACAAACGCCAACATACATAGAAACGATTATGTGATAACAACTGCCATATAACGACACTAACATTAAAAGTTTCTAAAGATTAATTCTATATTTCATGAACGAAAACAAGTTTAATTGAAAATGACAACACGAGTTGCCTTTCTTGTACATCATTCTTTATGAAAAATAAACAGGTGTGATGTATCATTTATTGTTAGGTGGAAATAACGACAGTTTTCGGATGACTATTATTATTAGATGATCACAACAATAGCACGTCCGAATTGTCGAAACTGATTAGCAGTGTCTAGACAAATTATTTTCCGGACGTATCAAATTTGTTTTTGCGTGCGTTAATATGCAATTCAAAATTTTCCAAATTGATGGCTTGAATAAAATTACCCAAAATATTTCTTAATCTCATAATATGATGGATTTTTTTATACAACTTTAATAACGGCATTCCATATTATTATTGAATTCGCTAAGTACCCGACTGTTCATTGTATGTCAAAAAAATATATAAGTGTTTGTATTCCATATATCCCAGTAAATATGCCATTAAGGATATGTCATTAAGGATAACATTCAAACGAGCAGCTCTGCTTCAATCATATCTCGATATTTGTGTTATGAAAACATAGGAACGATTTCAAATAGGATCTCTCAAAAACGTAACTATTCCAGATTTCTATTTTTGAACTTCTCCCATTTCCACCATATGTTAAGCATTACATCACAGAAAGGTTTAAAAAGTTGTGTATATATTTCACAAAAAATTACAAAATATGATATCATTACCAAATCTCATATTACAAGTGCTGCATAGATAAACTTTAGATATCACCACCAGTAGTGTCAATTTGTGCATTATCTACAAATTTTTTAACTTTTATCATGTTTATTTTCATTAAAAATTACTATTTTACAGTATAACCACGATTACATGAACATTTTATAAATAAAATCATAACATGAAGAAGATAAATCTTAATTTGGTTCTAGATTATGAACTTAGATAGACGGTAAAAGGTACATATACTGGTGTATATTGTCTTTTAAAGTCACAGTTGAAAAAGCATGTTAACAATCGATCAATTATATTACGTCCCTTCTTACAGTACTAATCACATTATTGAACAAGATGTTACTTACACTCGTTTATAGGTAAAAACTATTACATATAAACACAAAAGAATATCAACTTGTAAGTGTTTTCTTCGTAATATGACCTTGATTAATCTAGAGATGTTTCTGTTTCAATTGGTGAGCGTTTTGCTCTGCATATTATCTTCGTCTGGACAAGTTACAAGACCCGGGGGATGTCCAAATGTGAAGACTGTTTCCCATGTCAATTGGAAAAAGGTAAGATCGATTTTGTCATTATAATAAAGGTATTACAATAAAAGTGACAGAATCTTCAAAACCGTAATTTTGTTTTCAATCAGAAAACAAATGATATACAATTAGAAAATACATGTAGGGGATGGCATGAATTTAAAAGAAATAAACAGGTATGTCGGCTTGGTATGTGTATCTTGCTATGTGTTAACGTGTTGTGCATCAAAAGGGGTTTCCTAGAATTAAGTGTATCAAGAACACACACACATCTTAAACATATCAAAGCTTAGAATGTACCAATCGTGATCATAATAGGAGATATTTGACAAAATTGACATAAAAACAATTACCTACTCCACTTTAGTAATTTGCTTTAGGCATATTGATGTCTTGTCGAATTGTTTACTGTAGATAAAATAACGATATATCACCATGTGTACACCAATACAATATAGCAAGTACGTCATAACACTGTTGAACTAATGATGTTTTTTTTTCATTTGGGAGATGATCAGACAGGACCATGACAATTTGCATATACACTTGTATATTGTTGAGGACCAAAGCTAAACAACAGAAATCTCTGTTTTTTTTTTTTTCTTCTGTTTTTTTTTTTTTTTTATTATTTATTTTAATGTCTTATAGACGTATAGTCCATATTGTGTGTTAATGATACTACTTACAGATAACTTACATTTGTTACCATACATACATGATAGATAGATTTTAAACTATGTTTTTTGCTTACATAAAGTTCAATTGGCAAATGATTTTTAAAGTCGTAGTATGTTTCATGTCGTTAGGCTTCAGTAAGACATTATGACAAAGCACTGAAAATACAATGTACTTTTACAATTTTATTTTCTTATTTTCGTAAAATATTATGTTGCACTTAATAACAGATATATTAAATGCGAAATATATGTTGTTATCAATGATAAAAACATCTTACTTACATATTTTGTCGGATTAATGAAAATAACCTGCGCATTCGTGTTAACATAATACGATATTAACTTCGTATTAAATAGATTTCTAACATGTAAATAACATGTATATTTTTGAAGGAAACTTTGTTATAAAAATGAATGAAGCATAATTGAATATATTTTGCAGACGAATTGTATATAACAGTTCAGCGTATCATAATTGTATCAAACTAACAATGTCTAAAATTATCAAGTAGCTACTGGTTACAAGGCATTCGATATTTGAGCATTAATCAAGGCGTTTTCTCCGATGTCGGAATAAAATCGTGTAAGCTGTCTTGGTGTCAGCATTTATAAATTCACGCTGATCGACAATAAAGCTTTATCTTTTTATTGCTTGAATCGGTTCCCTTAGGCTAGAAAATTTGATTTTTATTGAATGATTGATTGTTTTTTTAACACAACTTTCATGGCGGTCAGCTTGTATTGGTAGAGGAAGACAGAATGCCTGGAGAGAATGGCCTACCTTCGGTAGGAAAATCCTAGTCAATTAAGATTAGTGTCGAGCACACCTGCCACGTGCGGGATTAGAACTCAAAACATCAGTGTTGACAGGCTAGTGATACAGTTGTTCAACTAATAAGTTTCTGCGTTTTTTATATACTATTGTGGATTCTGTGATTTTCGTGGATATCAATGTTTGTGGAGTGAAAAAAAATGGATATTGGATAACGCGCCAGAATCTGCCAAATATATGTATGGCCCCAGTACCCATGCTATAACTGGACACCTTAACATAGTCCAGGATCGAGTGTTATTTAATTTTTTAGGAAAGGGCCTAAATATATCCCCCGTCAATTATTAATTGGAATGAGCGTCATGGCATCATCCAAGACTCACTCCAAATATAACTGTTCAAAGTTTTGATTTTTCTACCCTATACACCACTTTGCCTCATAATCTGATTTAGAAAAATCATATACCTAACCAAATGAGCATTTTAATAAAAATCAGAATTTTGCTTAGTTTCTTTTGTTACCTATTCTAACATCGTACTCGGACTTCTTTTAAGCTGAGTATATATATAATCAAAAGAAAACGAATCCCTACAACTTTCGATAAGATTATAAATGAAAGGAAAGGCTTATAAATTAGGTCTGTATGACGGGAATATTCTTATATGAGCGTAGGAGTATATTAATGTAAACAAAACTGACAGTGATAATGTTAGATATGTTCTCTACCGATAATCGTCATTTCGAATCTTTCCAATAAGAGACATAGCTACAGTAGGATATCGTTATTCATCTCTGTCAGATGTTTCTTTTTACATCGAGTATCTAAATGTAATTTCACCTATTAGATAGGATAAGAGAAGGAGAGAGTATAAAAGTGACCGGAACGGTGAACATCCTATTCTATCCAAGACCTCAAAATTGTAGTCGTAATTTTCAGATACAAAACCAAACATATTTCTTTTTTAATACAAGACAGAAGGTCGATGGTATAGAATCAGTGAGTTCCCAGAAAGAGATCCACGGTTACAGAATCAGACCTGTATATCGGAAATAAAAGAAGTAAACAGTGATGGTACTATAAGTGTGTTTGCCTCCTGGCTAAACACATTGTGAGTATTTCACTTTAACAGATACTTTCTAAGAAGTGTAGTGTCGGTATAAGTTAAAAAGAAATAGATATAAAAAAAAAATTATACCAGAGTTAAAAAAAGACAACAGTAGTATACCGCTTTTCAAAGGTCATTAATCGATTGAGAGAAAATAATTCCGGGCTACAAACTAAAACCAAGGGAAACACATCAACTATTAGAGGAAAACAACGAAACAACAGAACACTGAAGTGCAACAAAATACAAACGACAACGCAACATACATATAAACGAACTATTAGATAACAACTGCCATATTCCTGACTAGGTACAGGACATTATAAGAAAAAAATGTTGGGTTGAACCTGAAACAAATGAAATTGTTTAACTTCATACAAGACTAGATTCATTACCGTCGTTAACATTTCCTGTCGTGGATAAATCGTCTGTTATATCGTCATTTTTGTTGCGTAAGAATCATTTCTAAGAAGTGTAGTGTCGGTGTTAGTTCAAAAAAATTTAGATATACAAAAATATAAGAGAGTTAAAACAAATGACATTTTTGTTGCGTAAGAATCATTTGTCAAGTTGACAGCGAGATTCAATTTTTGTTACGCATAACTCATGCAACGCATGAACCATCCGCCATTCTGACAGGTTAAGCATGTCATGCCACCATTATTTTGACAATTTAAGCATATTTTGCCACCAATATTTTGACAATTTAAGCATATTTTGCCACACATTACTCATCAGCACCGACTGCAAAAGCATGTTACGCCACTTGATATACATCCCACAAGATTTCAGGTTATAATATTCTACATTAAAATACGGATATTATTGTCTTTGTTAGATTAATGTGTGCGTTTTAAGACAGTTATGTTGTATGTCTGTGATGAATGTTTATACAGTTTTTGCTGTTTGGGTCCAATTATTGTAATATCAACCTATTATGTCTGCATGGTCTGTTTGGGTTGCTAACCTTATTTTGTCAATATAACTGAACTATAAACAACTACCATACAAGACGGTGGTTTGGAGTTGATTTTCAATTGTTCTGTTGATTGATAGCGCTTGAGTTTGTCCGTTTTAATGAATTTGACTTGAAGTGGGTGTATTTTTTTTTCTTAATTAAACTGGGAAATTGTTTAAAATTTTCATATCTCCGTAATGCAAATCTCTTTTCCTTTGTCTGGATTTTTCTTGACTTTGTTACACTACTGTTGCAGGTAAGGGTGAAGGTAGGCGCCTGTTAAAACGTTTAAACCCGCTGCATTTGTATGCACCTGTCCTAAGTCCGGAGCCTGTTGTTCAGTGGTTGTCGTTTGTTGTTGAGGTTTATGAATGTTTCTCGTTTCTCGTTTTTTTTTTTTAAGATTAGACTGTTTGTTTTCCTTTTTGAATTGTTTTACACTAGTCATTTTGGGGCCTTGATATCTTGCTGTGCTGTATGAGCAAAGGCTCCGTGTTGAAGGCCGTACTTTGACCTATAATTGTTATTTTTTTCTAATTGCAATTGTGACTTGGATGGAGAGTTGTCTCATTGGCACTTATACGACATCCTCTCATTTCTTTTTAAGTCATTTTCGTTTGATTTGTTCTTCAACTGAAGTATTAAATTCTAAATTTCAAATATGTTAGCCTCAAGCATCGCCGAAGAAATATTGATTGTCGATCTGCGCATCTGGTCCTTGGCAGTCAAATTTATAATGAACATGTAATTATGTCAAGTGACAAGTATCAAAGCCACGCATATGGTAAAACAGTAAGTAATGTTGAATGGGTGCAAAGGATCTTCTACAAAATGAAACATCTTTAAAAAGTTGAGAAAAAAAAACTGTGGCTTTATAAATTCAACCATCATGTGAAACTTTCGTAGAATTGCGAATCGATCAGTATAGACGTTCAGCCTAATGAAATCGAGTACAAAAATACATTTCTGTTGTGAAGTTGATAAATATATACAACTTCTAAATTCAGTATCTATTTGTTAAAATTTATGTGTTAATAATAAGAGCCAATAAATATATAAAGTCATATTTGCATTCGATTTATGGTTTTGCTTTATTGTTATCTACTCCCTTTCTATTAATATAGTTGTTCTTTGCATGTGTTTGTACTTGTATCTTAGTTAAATGTTTAGGCATTGTTTATTTACAGTACTAATCAGTTCTTTAAAGATGTGTTTGTTGGTAAAATTATACCAGATCCAAGTAATCCAGGACTGTCTACTTTTGAGGGAACACTTGAGTGTAAGCTAAATTAACTATAGTTTTGTTTTCATTCCATTTTTACTCTCCCACTCAACCTCATATTCAAAATTAACCCCATTATTTTCATCAATTTGTGCAATCTGCAATGATTGACTTAAATAAGAAAATTGTCTGCTATGAAATTAATGTTTCTACTTTGATACAAATTAACATGCATACAACACTGATTTGCTAAATACATAATATTATTACCTTTCTCCTTTAACAAATAATGACTTATTGTTATACTTATTTCTTTGTTTATTGAAGACCTTAGATTACGCATACACTAGTGTACAGTTTGCCTATATATTGGTAAAATTTAGCTAATAAGTTAAAACAGAAATGGACCACTAATGTACCATCTTCGCTAGCCAAGGGTTACGATCCACCTCCCTCCTCTCCACCCTTGCCAGATTAAGCCAACATTTGTGATAACAATGTTGCGCCATCTATCGGTAGATTAAAGTCACGCCCATTGCGAATACATTATTCTTGACCAATGGTAGCACTTCAATTTGGAGGTAAAACACGGTACACAGTCCTTGGATGGTGTAAACTTCCCACTCACACGATACACCATTACACCATTCACCATACACCATTACACCATACACCTTGTGCCATTACACCATACACGTTACACCTTTGCACCATACACCTTACACATTACACCATACACCATTCCCCATTCTATCTACACGATCCGAAATTACCCATAATGCAATTAAATTTCAAAGAAAGCGTGCGACTACAAAATTATTTATTTGATTTAAAAAACGAATTTTGATCACAATATTGTAAATTAATGTATAAAATTAAAATCTCCGTGGTCATGCCTATGATGGTTATATAAACAATACAGATTAAATATATATACATGTATTTGTAAATAATGTACGCATAAAACTTTGCTTGTAATGCAAATTTATCCGCGATCTGCCTATCTATAAATTAAAAACGATATTGGTTACAATGCTATTATTATCGGTTTTAACATGTATCGTAAACCCTTACCGAAAAATAAGCCCTGCGGCAAACATTTGCCGCAAGTTTGCAGCAAACATTGCCGCAAGCTTGCGGCAAACATTTGCTGCAAACTTGCCGCAACCATTTTACCATGCAAATGAAGGTTGCGGCAAGCTTGCTGCAAACAAAATTATGCAAATTAGATTTGCGGCAAGCTTGCGGCAATTGTTTGCTGCAAGCTTGCGGCAAATGTTTGTTGCAAACTTGCGGCAAACTTGCAGGAACTACACATATATTAATGTCATGTGTGTAGGCACATTCAATTTAGCTCTTTCAAATTACACAGCAACATTTTTAAAAGAATTCCTGCCTGTATACAAACAGTCATTGAAAGAATTCTTGCAAACAAAGGGGACAGGGGTCATTCTCAAATGACATCATATACCTGTAATTAAGAAATGGAAAAAGAATAAATCTTAAGTGTGTATCGGGTATAAAGCTAGGTAATAATTGCATTACAAAATTGAACTTAATTTTAATAAACATGGTACAGTACATCAATTACAAAATTCAAACTTATAATACATGTAGCTAAAGATTTTCAAACACACACATATATATAGTTGCTTACTTAATTATGTATGATGTGACATTAATTATTTTATCAAAACATGCTGTTCTATGAATTATTTGTACTTACAAAATTACATATTGATATAAATCCTTTATCATTGAACCAAAATGCCTCCTTGATCTCTTATATGTGAAATGCATTTTCCAAACACAATCAACATGACCTAGTCACAATTTCAAATTGTTAGCTTCCAGGAAGTGCCAACTAGGCATGCCCAGTCAATATTGTGTAGTTCTTGCAATGTTCTGGCAAACATATAGAATGGTCAAAGTTTTCTGCAATTTTGTGGCAAACATATAAAATGGTCAAAGTTTTCTGCAATCTTGCGGCAAACATTCTTAATTATCTTGATGTTTCTGCAAACTTGCCGCAAGCTTGCAGCAAAAAGCTGCAATGTTTGCCGGAAGTTTGCAGCTAGCGGCAAACATCTGCAAACACAATTTTCTTTGTTCCTGCAAACTTTTTGTTTGCCGCAAGCTTGCGGCAAGTCTGCTGCAAGTTTGCGGCAAACAATTCAGTTTCATAAGGGAATCTTATAAACTTGGTTTTCATATAAAATCGACAAACAATGCCAAAAATGAATACTTCAGGATGACTGGTACATGTACAACATGTACAACAAAATTATTTTAAGCATCAACCAAAACTGACCATATTTGCACTTATAATTATAAAATTGAGAATGGAAATGGGGAGTGTGTCAATCTGTTAATTTATATAGGGCTAAAAAATTTGGAAATATTTTTGCCCTCCTTTTATTAAAAATATTGTCTCGCTACAAAATTTCAGTAATTTTGATACCTCAGGCTGACTCATATAACAAAATTATTTAACTCATCAACCAAAACTGACCATAATATTTTCACTTTATTATATAGATCTATATAACCGCATAGTAAATCAGCAATATTTTGATGTCAGGGTGGATTGTATAATACAAATGACAGCAACATTGCAAAACAACATGTACAATGACAAAAATTTGTCCCCATCAATCTAGATTGCCAGCATGTCCTAGTTTAATCAATATATTGTCTCGCAACAAAATTTCAGTAGTTTTGATACCTCAGGTTGACTTGTATAACAAAATTATTTTAACGCATCGACAAAAACTGACCATATTTGCACTTTATTATGTATATCTATTAAGCCACATAGTAAATCAGCAATATCTTGTTGTCAGGATGGATTGTATAACACAAATGACAGCAACAGTGCAATACAATGACAACAAAAATTTGTCCTGATCAATCTAGATAGCCAGTATGACCTCTTTTATTCAAAATATTGTCTCGCAAGAAAATTTCAGTAGTTTTGATACCTCAGGCTGACTCGTATAACAAAATTATTTTAAAGCATCACCCAAAACTGACCATATTTGCACTTTATCATGTAAATCTATATAGCCGCATAGTAAATCAACAATATTTTGATGTCAGAATGGATTGTATAATACATATGACAGCAACATTGCAACACAATGACGACAAAAAATATACCCATCAATTTAGATAGCCAGCATGTCCTCTTTTTAATTAAAATATGGTCTCGCAACAATTTTTCAGTAATTTTGATACCTAAGGCTGACTAGTATAACAAAATTATTTAAACGCAACAACAAAAACTGACCATATTTGCACTTTATTATGTATATCTATATAGCCGCATAGTAAATCAGCAATATTTTGATGTCAGGATGGATTGTATATATAAATGACAGCAACATTGGAATACAATGGCAACAAAAATTTGTCCCCATCAATCTAGATAGCCAGCATGTCCTCTTTTTATTCAAAATATTGTCTCGTAAGAAAATTTCAGTAGTTTTGATACTTCAGGCTGACTTGTATAACAAAATTATTTTAAAGCATCAACCAAAACTGACCATATTTGCACTTTTAATATTATGTATATCTATATAGCCACATAGTAAAGCAGCTATATTTTATTGTCAGAATGGGTTGCATTATACAAATGACAGCAACATTGCAACACAATGACAACAAAAATTATCCCCATCAATTAAGATTGCCAGCATGTCCTCTTTTTATTCAAAATATTGTCTCGAAACAAAATTTCAGTAATTTTGATACCTAAGGCTGACTAGTATAACAAAATTATTTAAACGCATCAACAAAAACTGACCATATTTGCACATTATTATGTATATCTATATAGCCACATAGTAAATCAGCAATATTTTGATGTCAGGATGGATTGTATAATACAAATGACAGCAACATTGCAATACAATGACAACAAAAATTTATGCCCATCAATCTAGATACCCAGCATGTCCTCTTTTTATTCAAAATATTGTCACGCAACAAAATGTCAGTAGTTTTGATACCTTAGTCTGACTCGTATAACAAAATTATTTAAACGAATCAACCAAAACTGACCATATTTGCATTTTATTATTATGTAAATCTATATAGCCGCATAGTAAATCAGCAATATTTTGTTGTCAGAATGGATTGTATAATACAAATGACAGCAACATTGCAACACAATGACAACAAAAATTTGTCCCCATCAATCTAGATTGCCAGCATGTCCTCTTTTTATTCAAAATATTGTGTCACATGAAAATTTCAGTAGTTTTGATACCTCAGGCTGACTCATATAACAAAACTATTTTAAAGTATCAACCAAAACTGACCATATTTGCACTTTATTATGTAAATCTATATAGCCGCATAGTAAATCAGCAATATTTTGATGTCAGGATGGATTGTATAATACAAATGACAGCAACATTGCAATACAATGACAACAAAAATTTGTCCCCATCAATCTAGATAGCCAGCATGTCCTCTTTTTATTCAAAATATTGTCTCGTAAGAAAATTTCAGTAGTTTTGATACCTCAGGCTGACTTGTATAACAAAATTATTTTACAGCATCAACCAAAACTGATCATATTTGCACTTTTAATATCTTGTATATCTATATAGCCACATAGTAAAGCAGCTATATTTTATTGTCAGAATGGATTGTATAATACAAATGACAGCAACATTGCAACACAATGACATCAAAAATTATCCCAATCAATTTAGATTGCCAGCATGTCCTCTTTTTATTCAAAATATTGTCTCGCAACAAAATTTCAGTAGTTTTGATACCTCAGGCTGACTCGTATAACAAAATTATTTAAACAAATCAACCAAAACTGACCATATTTGCATTTTATTATGTAAATCTATATAGCCGCAACAATTTTTCAGTAATTTTGATACCTAAGGCTGACTAGTATAACAAAATTATTGAAACGCATCAACAAAAACTGACCATATTTGCACATTATTATGTATATCTATATAGCCACATAGTAAATCAGCAATATTTTGATGTCAGGATGGATTGTATAATACAAATGACAGCAACATTGCAATACAATGACAACAAACATTTATTCCCATCAATATAGATAGCCAGCATGTCCTCTTTTTATTCAAAATATTGTCACGCAACAAAATTTCAGTAGTTTTGATACCTCAGGCTGACTCGTATAACAAAATTATTTAAACAAATCAACCAAAACTGACCATATTTGCATTTTATTATGTAAATCTATATAGCCGCATAGTAAATCAGCAATAGTTTGTTGTCAGAATGGATTGCATAATACAAATGACAGCAACATTGCAACACAATGACAACAAAAATTTGTCCCCATCAATTTAGATTGCCAGCATGTCCTCTTTTTATTCAAAATATTGTGTCGCAAGAAAATTTCAGTAGTTTTGATACCTTAGGCTGACTCATATAACAAAACTATTTTAAAGTATCAAATAAAACTGACCATATTTGCACTTTATTATGTAAATCTATATAGCCGCATAGTAAATCAGCAATATTTTGATGTCAGGATGGATTGTATAATACAAAAGACAGCAACATTGCAATACAATGACAACAAAAATTTGTCCCCATCAATCTAGATAGCCAGCATGTCCTCTTTGTATTCAAAATATTGTCTTTTAAGAAATTTTCAGTAGTTTTGATACCTCAGGCTGACTTGTATAACAAAATTTTTTTACAGCATCAACCAAAACTGACCATATTTGCACTTTTAATATTATGTATATCTATATAGCCACATAGTAAAGCAGCTGTATTTTATTGTCAGAATGGATTGTATAATACAAATGACAGCAACATTGCAATACAATGACAACAAAAATTATCCCCATCAATCTAGATAGCCAGCATGTCCTCTTTTTATTCAAAATATTGTCTCGCAACAAAATTTCAGTAGTTTTGATACCTCAGACTGACTCGTATAACAAAATTATTTAAACGAATCAACCAAAACTGACCATATTTGCACTTTATTATGTAAATCTATATAGCCGCAAAGTAAACAACAATATTTTGATGTCAGAATGGATTGCATTATACAAATTAAATGACAGCAACATTGCAACACAATGACAACAAAAATTTGACCCCATCAATCTACATGTTGATAGCCAGCATGTCCTCTTTTTATTCAAAATATTGTCTCGCATGAAAATTTTAGTAGTTTTGATACCTCAGGCTGACTTGTATAACAAAATTATTTTAAAGCATCAGCCACAACTGATCATATTAGCACTTTATTATGTCATGTATGTAAATCTATATAGCCGCATAGTAAATCAGCATATAGCCGCAAAGTAAATCAGCAATATTTTGATGTGAGGATGGATTGTATAATACAAATGACAACAACATTGCAATACAATGACAACAAAATTTTTCCCCATCAATCTAGATAGCCAGCATGTCCTCTTTTTATTAAAAATATTGCCTCGCAAGAAAATTTCAGTAGTGTTGATACCTCAGGCTGACTCGTATAACAAAACTATTTTAAAGTATCAAACAAAACTGACCATATTTGCACTTTATTATGTAAATCTATATAGCGCCAGCCGCATAGTAAATCAGCAATATTTTGATGTCAGGATGGATTGTATAATACAAATGACAGCAACATTGCAATACAATGATAACAAAATCTTGTCCGCTTTAATTTAGAGTGCCAGCATTTCATCTCTGTATTCGTTATATAAAACTGTCACTTAAGTCAGTATCAATATCTGTATTTCCCACTTCCATGACTTCTGAATATGGACGGGTACATGACAGATTCCTTTTGGGCTATTGTGTGATGGGTTGGTCTGCGCATAAATTAGTCGTGCTTGCTGAGGTGTGATGATTTAAACTCAGTAGTTCAGGATGGTTTGTATAATAAAACTATTCCACCTCATCATCCAACAGTGTGACTGACATGACAGATTTCATTTGTACTTTATAATGAAAAGTATGAGAAGTTCTCTTCTAGGAAAAGTATACTGTTATTCTATTATGTCGGTTGGTTGATTTTGTTGGTGGCTAAATATCAAGTGGCAAATATTTCATTCCGTTTCACATAAGTATATTTTTTCGGACGTTCAAGATATCATTTATAATCCGTAAAGACAAATCTAACGAAATTGACGAGATTGTTCATAATTATACAACACCTTATGTGCAATAACACTGTACAATTTTCCTTTGAACATTTTTTGGAAAACAGAATCGTAAATCCAAGGCAAACATAGGTGAATGACGATAAGATATTTATAAAGAGACTGTCAAAAGTGGGGAACGAAGCAACTTTAAAAATGATGTTGATAAACCGTGATATAACAATACTGTTCCGATGCGTGGATAACCTTTCTATCCGCCTTCTAGTTTAAATAAAATCCTTTCTTTTATGATAACTGCATGTGATCACAAGTGTGTAATTTTAAAGCCATTGTTTAATGTAAATAAGAATATGAAAAAAAAAGATTTTTTAATATTTGTATATTAAATATATATGACATAGAGTCTAACGAGTAAAGTAATTTGCTTTACTGGGAAAAAAGAACAATAGGATTATTATTATTGTTTATGTTTACAATCCGAAAAATTGAAATAAAATGAACTTCGGTTTCAACCAATGAAATGTCGTACACCATTCATTCACACCATTCCCGATCGCACGTTACACAATCACACCATTCCTCATACACCATTACACCATTACCCTTACACCATACACCATAGCACCATACACCTTCTACCATTGCACCATATGCCATACACCATTACACCATACACGTTATTTTGGGAGGTTTACACCATCCAAGGGCTGAAGCGTCTAGATTCTACACACTTGGTAAAGCAGGAAACGAAAATATACGTTGACATTCATGCATTTGTGCAAGAAACACACACAGGAACTTCTATAAGTCGATTAAAAACATTCAAATTGTCACTAAATATAGTCGTATGTTTAGGGATGTAAAGACTTGTTGCAAAATAAGCACGTGGCAATTGTTTACATACACTTTCTACATTTATTCGTGATCATGCTATAGGCGCTTTTTGATTGGATGCAGCGAGTTTAGACTGCAACCAATGAAAATCATGACCTTGTGTCTCCGAAATTCTATCTCAATCCGCCAAGGGTGGAGAGGAGGTAAGTGGATCGTAACCCTTGGCTAGCAAAGATGCTAATGTACTTGAATCACCAAAAAGTACTCAACTATCATATTCATAAATAAAACTGTGAATTTGAATATCATTTAAAATATTTAGAAGACAAATACTTTACAACTTTGTGTTTAGAAGGGGGAATCATAAATATCCTATTGAAATTGAAAGATGGCAACATATTACAAAGAGAAAATAGAAAATGTTTACTTTGTAACAGAAAAAAATATCTTGTATGAATTTCATTATATTTTTACATTTTCTGTATTTTATGGTAAACATAAGCCTATATTGAAAAACAAACATACAAACCAAACAAATTCATTGAAATTTAATGAACTGATGAACAACAAAAATTTATATGCTCTTGAATGACTAAAACAGCTAGTAGGCTCTCCTTGATAAACTCTTGAGAAATTTACATTTCCCTTAATATCTGTAATTGCCTCGGTCCTACTTTTGTTTGTTTTTTTGTATATCTGAAAATATGCATTATGTAATATTAATTGTGTGTATCGCTATACGAATGTACTTTGGTTTTACATATGATATAACTGCATATTACCTTATTCGTTTCAGCTACGCCGCGGTATCTCGCTTCTCTTATGCAGATGCAATACGACAATTTTCATTTGTTGTATGCGTGTGAAGATGGTGGAGGACAGCAAACTAGTCTAGGTATGCATATGTCTATGACGTACAAAAGGAGCTGAAGCAAAAATATTTCAGAATGATTTGTTTATGCATGAAAAATTCATGAAGTATTTTGACAATTAAAATAAAAAACGAACCTTTCCAAACGTATATACAAACTTATGAATTGAAGTGAATATAAAGACACACATAGACTGATATAAAATTTAAACTATAATTTATTGTTTTAGTGGGGGAAGCACAACATTTCCTTTAGGAATAACTGCATTCTTGCTACACATCCAATCAGCCGCCACGGTATAACATCTTTTTAACATATGCTTGTTCAAATCGGTCATACATTTAGACAATAGAAGACCAATTTGACTGTACATACCTTTATCATTTTCCTGAAACCAAACGTATTACTGCAATTTAACCAATTTATATGTAATTAAAGCTATCTGAAACTAAATTTCCTTTTTATTACACATAGCAGACCGCATGTTCCTCAAAGAGCCGATGTTTGTCAACGTTATCTGTAATAAATGATAATAATTAATAACACATTTTTATAAAAAAGAAATATAGGTAGAATATAGCAAGGGGACAAACCGTAGGTCTCAGAAAAACAAACAACATCATGGCCAAAACAAACCGACAATCAGTCTACAAAATATTCTATCCATTTGAATTACAACTCATTAATCAAATGTTGCCTCAGACATCTTTATGTTTTATAAGAGAGACGAAAGATAACAAAGGGACGTTTAAACTCATTAGTCGAAAAAAAACTGACAAAGCCATGGCAAAAACTATTAAAAGGGCTAAAGGACAAACAACAATATACAAAACACCGCATGAAAAAATATTGAGCGACACGACCTCCATCAAAACCAGGTGATCTCAGGTGCTTCAGAATGGTAAGCAGATCTTGAGTCACATGTGGCATGTAAAAAAATGTTGTCGATGCGAACACGGTTACATAACACAAGCAGACATGTCTCTCCAAAAACTAACTTTTTACAGACAACATATAAGTGCTCCTTCTACCAAACACATGTCCTTAAGGAATCAGATATGTGTGTTGCGAACAAAAGCCTACTTTGTAATGAACCTTTCATAGAAATAAAATGTATAGATTAAGAGTTTTTTTTTCATACAAATTGTTCCCATCTAAATGGACATTGAACGGTAAAATGAAACTTCAGTGATGTTTGTTAACTTTTAACGGTAAGTGTTCTATAACATTTTTTAACGAATTCTAGTCTCATGTCAACAAGAATCTGTGTGAGAGAGTGAATTCGGATAGATAGTGCAGATTAGATTGTAAGTAGTCTTTCGTCTTATATATATGAAACAAAGCATATGATTGGTTAGACAATTCTTTTATTATATTCTGAATCGTATTATATAGTGGAAATGATTATAAATTAAAAATTAAAAAAAAAGAATAATTTCCCTGACTTTTACAGAGACCGCATTGATTTTATCCCGCAGAGCAAAACCAATGAAGAAGTCCACCTTACAGAAAATATATTTTTTGCTCAGAACTAATGGTGTTGATCCAGATAATTTCACATTTGTTGACCACAGTGATTGTCCCAATCTACAGTAGAAATTGGAGTATTTCTTGAATTTTATTTACTTGTTTGTTTATAATAAAGTTTAAAATCATAATGTCAAGTCCGAGATTAAAAATAAAAACAACATTTGTTTCTGGTGTTGATTTTTTTTAACCTATTTTTTGCTTTAATGCATATCCGGCCCAAACAAAACACTACCATTTTAGCTTTGTTCTTAAAAACAAAATGTTGAATACATTACAACAATTCTGTAAAAGAGAATATTCCATGATATTCAGTACTTATATGTTGTGATGTTCTTTCTAGAATCTGAGACTACTATAGTATAAAAACTAATAAAAAAAACTCGTCATAGCTACTAGGATTTAAATTTTGTACGCCAGACAAGCGAGTCGTCTTCCACAGACTCATCAGGGACGATAAAAGTTACCATGTCTATAATTTGGTACACCAGACAAGCGGTTTGTCTACACAATAACCAGTGGCGCTTGAATCAAAACAATTGAAAAGCCAATCAAAGCAAGGAGTTGAAAAGAGTCATACCACTGTGTTGAATACTACGTGAATCATGTATAGAAAGGAGGATAATCAGTCATGTTCTATCACAAATCCTTTAATTACTAGATCAGCAGTACATTACTATTATAATAATTATAATACATACAAGAAAACCCTAACCCGTATTATAATTGCATTCACGTAAATTTGAACATAATAATATAGCATGCATTTCTAGAACTTATTTTAACATTTGAGTACCAGCTCTTTTCAATAGCTAGTTTATGCGAGAACAATCTTAGGTCGCAGTACATTTTCCATATTAAGTCAGGAATATGACAGTTTTTTCCATTCGTTTGACGTGTTTGAGCTTTCGATTTTGTCATTTGATAAGGGACTATCTGCTTTGAGTTTTCCTTGGAGTTTAGTTTTTTCGTTATTTTACTTTTTAGATAACGCATTTAAAGTCTACGACAAATATAGATTAGTTGCAATAATCATGGACATTGCTAACCATAGACTATTCAAACCCGTATCGACTACATCAAAAAATTAGGAAAAACGTAAGTTTTTTAAGGTAGAATTCGCCAATATAGGTTTAGATGCTGTAAATATAAGCAATATTTTCCACCAGAAATCTGTACAAAAAACTATATTTGATTACTTCAAAAATAAAGCTACACCTGTTATTTCTTATACTTACACCCAGTCTATTGCATCCAATATTTTCAACCACAAGAGGGTTTTAGAGGCCTTTAACCTCTAAGATGTGAAATCCAAGGCTCCGGATTGCTCATGTGCATCGTCGCAATACTGCTGGTCATGTTATTACTGGCGACCTTGGCATCGTTACCAATGAACAACTAAGAGAGTTGTTAGCCAAGGGACCAAAATATAGAATTCCCCAGCCCATCAACTGGAAAAAGAACTTCAGGTTACTGATGGGTGCAGTTGAGGACTTTGCAAGAAAATGGGTAAAGCGCGAACCAGACGAACAAGAACTGGACACTTTACAGTTAAAGATGGGCTTCAAAAATATTGTGATGAGATATATTCTACCAGTGGTGTTAACCAGATGTAGATTCTCAAAAATTAGAAAGATCTACTGCTTAATCTTCAATCACAATCTTTGCAATTTTGCAGCAACATAAAGACTTTTGATTTTTCTACGCTTTACACTACTATTCCCCATGCTCAGTTGAAAGATCGACTTCACCATCTCATCAAACAGAGCTTTTTCTATAAAAATGGGAATCGTAGATACAAATTTTTTGTTTTGGGTTACAATAATTCATATTTTGTAAAGAACCACACTGAATCTACCAGAAAATATACTGAAGATGATATTATGAAAATGCTGGACTTTTGATCGACAATATATTTGTTGAGTCTGGAGGATTTATATTTCAACAGACAGTCGGCATTCCAATAGGTACTAATTGTGCACCCCTACTGGCCGATATGTATTTGTACTCGTATATCATATATCCCAGTGAACTTGAAATTAAGGATACTACTGATACTAGAAGGACTGCTTCATACCTTGATCTTTTCCTCAATATTGACACAGATGGACGACTTCACACGAAAATCTATGATAAACGGGACGATTTCAACTTCCCAATTATCAGTTTCCCATTTCTCAGCAGTAACATACCCTCTGCCCCTTCGTATGGTGTTTACATATCTCAATTGATACGTTATTCTCGTGCTTGTTCACACTATACGGACTTCATATACAGGAGTGTGCTCCTAACACAGAAACTGCTCCAACAAAGTTATGAGGAGGACAGATTAAAAATGACACTCCGTAATTTTTACGGACACCATCACAAATTGGTTGATCCATACGATGTGTCTTTGTCCAAACTAACTAAGGACATTTTACCACGTGTTAGATTGTGGTTTGACATTACGTCGTCTGATCTTTGAATTACCGAACGTGACTTATTCCCGATTGTGACTGTTTTGCTGAGTGTGAATTCGCATTGCTATAAGACGTGTCACGGTACTTTTCTATCCAAAATTCATGGATTTAGTTTTGATGTTATATTTGTTATCCTCATCGGATGTTGTCAAATGTCTTATCGTTTGTAGTTGTAAATCTTATTTTTTTCTGTTGTATTCGTGTGTTATGGTAAAGATAATTAATCATCCAGTTCATTTATTAGATTTTAGTTTGGGTCAACTAAATTTATACGATATAGTTGGTTTACAGTTTGATTTAGAAGAAACACCGACATAGCTAGATAATACAATTAATCATCTGATTACTACCACAATTTTATATTAATTAGTATTGTAATTTTCATTGTTATTAACAAATGGTATATGAGTATTACAAACCTACTCTTGAATTATATCCTAATTCTATCCTATTTTGGGGAAATTTTTAGAAATTCAAATGTGACGTCACTTTGTGCGTTGATCTCTTTGGCTAACTCGACTGTGAATTTTTATGTACTAGTTTATGTTGTTTTATGTATCCGTTTTTATTCTGTAGTTAGTCACCACTTCGGTGTTATCATGTATATCTATTATATAGTCATTTTTATAAATTTACTGTTTTCAAAAGTTTAAATTATTCTAAATAATAAGGATGTTCTTATCCCAGACAGAAAACCTTAGCCGTATTAGGCACAACTTTTTGGAACTTTTGGTCCTCAATGCTCTTCGACTTTGTACTTGTTTTGGCTTTCGAACTTTTTTTATCTGAGCGTCACTGGTTAGTCTTGTGTGGACGAAACGCGCGTCTTGCGTATTAAATTTTAAACCTGGTACCTTTTGTTAGCTATTATTCGTATGTTTCTCTGTCCTATATGTTCTCCCATTTATTTGTATTGTAGTCCTGTCATGTAATGTTGTCATTTTAATGTTATATTTAACATTGCCATAAAAGTGGGAGGTTTGGTTAGCCACAAAACCAGGATCAACTCACCATTTTTTTCTTAAAATGTCCTGTACCAAGTCAGGAAAATGGCCATTGTTATATTATAGTTCGTTTCTGTGTGTGTCTGTTTGTAACCCGGATTTGTTTAAATCGATTTATGAATTTCGAACAGCGGTATACTACTGTTGCCTTAATTTTTCTTTATTTCGAACAAAATTATGACATCGGCAAACATCAATAAGAATAAACTTAACTCTTTCAACTCTATAGCATAAAACTTTTCATTTATAAACTACCACCGCACAATCATTAAAATATATAGCAAACAAAATGGGAGACGATACATCCCCTTCCATTAAACCAACGTTTTCATTGAAAACAATCATAATAAAACCCATTTATTGTAATGCATAATTTCACATTTGAACATTGTTCAATACACAGACTTAAAAAACGACAGTGATTTATCTTGTATATATATTTCGAACGATTTATGCTACCAATTAATTGGTAAATAATGTCAAATACTTATGTATAATCAACAAATCAGGAATAAAGTTTCTTCTTGTCAAACAATGTTTTTGTCATCACACCTTGTTTAATGATGGTAAAGGTTCAGCTAAATAGCATTCAAGGAAGTTATTTTGCTTATAAAAATATAACGTTTTAAGACTGGCTCCAATCGAATACGTTTCATTATTGGTTAAGACGACAACACACCGTTAGCTTATTTATTCGTCATTTGCAGCTGCATATTCTTGAATTCAATAAAATACTCGTTAGGCAAACCATCGATAGCATGACTTGTACTTTTACATAAATAAAATATAGAGCATAACAGTTTGCAATTTGTAATAAGACCATACTGTTCCTTAAAAACAAGTGTGTCATTTTTGCTTGTGTCACTTTACTAAAAAGTTTTTTCAGAATTTTGTTCTGAATCGATTCATTAAACATGGTAACGAAAAACATTTACCATAGCTTAGTTTATCCTCATTTAGAATAATAATGTCCGGTTTACTTTGAGACTTTAGAATCCATTTTATTTGTGTCATCATGTAATTCAAAGTTTAAGATACACATACAGAGTTTAAATTGTCACTCTTTTCTACACAGCGGTTTGCTATATTGCAGTTTGTAGTCATCATACTATTCATAAGTAAGTCATTCTAATACACAGTCTGTTTCAACAACTGTCATAATTTGATCTATCAATTTCACATCTTTAAATTATCAGTAAATATTTGAGTGGTAAGAAAATATAGAGCAGACGCTTATAATCATGGTTATAGTATATATCACGAGATTGTTTTTATATTTTGCACTGTGTCACATTTAGTCACTTGGGTCCCGAATAGCTTGCGATGAGGATGGGTTTTCCTCATTTGTCAAGGCCATACGATGATCTAAGATAGCTCAAATATTTGCCCTTTACTCTATGACTAGTTATTTCATTGGCAAACATACCATATCGCCTTATTGTTATTTCTCCGGTTTGGTTTGAACATGAAAAAAAGGTTAATACTAAACAGGTCTCTATTAAACGTGTACTCATGCAAAAAACTTATCAGGACCCAGAGGTATAATATAGAGCATTCATTGGACTGTTTTATGTGATCAACGGGAAATATATGTATAGAAATAAAAGTGGTGTTTTGAAAGATGATTCATAAAGTTAATTGTCATTTACCGGCCTTGTATAGTTTTTTTGAAATAACGGTACTATCATTGTTGAAGGCCGTAC